ATGTTGGACGCCTGAGTTCTAAAAGTTTAGAATTCCTGATTTAGGAATGATATTGCCTCCCTCCATGGCAATGAAAGTTCACATGTTCCTGGGATGGTGGGACTGTCCTATCAAGAGGGATCACAGACTGTTATGGCTCAAGAGTAGTCCATTCGGCCTATTGTGCTTGTACTGGCTCTTCAAATGAGCATTGTGACCTCCTGCTTTCTCCTCAATATTCTTGCTTAATTTGTCTGTCCAAATAATCTTCAATGCCTCCATTGGCTGTTGGCCAAACAGGGCCTGTATTCTCCAGAGTTTTGTAGAGGGAAAAGTGATCTCATTGGAAGTTACAAAAGAGCAAGGAATGGATGAGGCAGATGCTGGTTTTTCAGTCATGGGAGATGGGCATCGCTGACTGGGCCAGCGTTTATTACTTGTCCCTGGTTGTCCTCAAAAAGGTGGGGGTGAGCCGCCTTCTTGAACCGCTGCAGTCCACGCGCTGTAGGTAGACCCATAATGCCCTTGGGAGGGGGAGATTCCAAGATTTTGACCCAGTGACACTGAGGGAGCAGCGATTATATTTATAGGTCAATGGCTTTGGAGGGGAAGTTGCAGGGAGTGGTGTTCCCATGTATCTTCTCCTGGCTGTTTTCCCACATCCGGCCACCCTCAAGAAACCAGCTTTAGGTGTGAAAAGCTCTAAGATAACATTGTAACGCATCACAGGAGGGTCTTCAGACTAAATCATGACATTGGGATCAAAAGTGCGATTGAAGACATCGACGTTAACAGTGGGCAGAAGGGCAGAGTGGATCCAGGAAAGAATTCCAGGGCTTCGAGCCTAGACACCTGACTACATGGGACTTAGTGGTGGAGTAATTAAAATCAGGATGGTACAAGAGGCCAGAATTGGAAGAACAGTGTGGAGAGCAGGCAGGTAGTGTATGGGGCTGGTGGAGGTTACAGTGACAGAGAGGCAACAGGAGATGGAAAAGACCAGGATGAGAACTTTAGCATCGAGGTATTTCCTTCATGGGCTGGGAGCTAATGTAGATTACCGAAACGATGTATTCCCCCTGGATAGGGAATCGAGAGCCCCTGAGGGAACAATTTAAAAATAAGGCTAATGCCGACTCAGGTCTGAGATGAGAATTTTTCTTCCTCAGGGCTTGTGAATCTTTGGAATTCACCATCCCAGGAAATTCTGTCTTTGAGTATGTTTAAGGCAGAGATCGATAGATTTCTGATTACCAGTGCGGTGCGGGGTTAGGGAGATGTGGGTCAGTGTTCAATCAGCCCTAATTGTATTGAGTGGTAGGGTAAGCTCGATGGACTGAACGGCCTACCCTCTGTTCCTATTGAGTTAGGGTGAGGTTTATACGAAAGTCAATGAGAGGCCTCCCAGCATGAAGCTGTCTCACGTGGTCCTGTGTTTATCTAGCGGTTAGCATGAATCAGTGTTCATTTCCCCTTAGGGTTTAATATTTGACTCCTCAGTGCAAACTCTGAACCAGCCCATCCCTGATTCTCATTTTCTTTGCCATGAACTGACTGTTGATTCTTGCATTTCTTTGTCTCAGTTTCTCGTGTTTGTGTTGAGAGATTTCTGGAACAGTAGGACTGACATTATCAGGAGAGGTTTCATTCAGTTAATATTGGAGTTTAGAAGAGTGAGTGAGGGATTTCATAGAATTTGTAGAGGTTTCGAACACGACTAGGCAAGGTAAGCACAAGAACGGTGTGCCCCGATGACTGGGGGGTTCCAGAACTGGGAGGTCACAGTCTAGAACATAGAACATAGAACAGTACAGGCCCTTCGGTCCATGATGTTGTGCCGGACTTTTACCCTAAACCTAAGGTCTATCTAAGCTCCACCCCTACCTTATACTATCATCCATATGCCTATCGAATAGCCGCTTAAATGCCCCTAATGAGGCCGACTCCGCTACCCTCTCCGGCAACGCATTCCACGCCCCGACCACTCTGAGTAAAGAATCTACCTCTGACGTCTCCCCTATATCTACCTCCACTCACTTTAAAACTATGCCCCCTCATAATACCTCCACCCTAGGAAAATGGCTGTCCACTCTATCTATACCTCTGATCATTTTGTACACCTCTATCACCTCTCATCCTTCGTCGTTCTAAAGAGAAAAGCCCTAGCTCTCTCAACCTTTCCTCGTAAGACCTTCCCTCCATTCCAGGCAACATCCTGGTAAATCTCCTCTGCACCTTTTCCAACGCTTCCACATCCTTCTTGTAATGAGGCAACCAGAACTGGATACAATACTCCAGATGTGGCTGAACCAGGCTTTTGTATAGCTGGAGCATAACTTCACGGCTCTTGAACTCAATCCCTCTATTAATGAAAGCTAACACACCATACGCCTTCTTAACAACTCTATCCACCTGGGTGGCAGCTTTCAGGGAACTGTGGACATGAACCCCAAGGTCCCTCTGCTCCTCCATCCTGCCAAGAATCTTTCCGTTAACCCTGCATTCTGCTTTCAAGTTTGTCCTTCCAAAATGAATTACCTCACGCTTTTCAGGGTTAAACTCCATCTGCCACTTCTCAGACCAGCTCTGCATCCTATCGATGTCCCTTTGTAACCTAGAAAAGCCCTTCGCACTATCCACAACACGACGCACCTTTGTGCCATCCGCGAACTTACTAATCCACCCTTCCACTCCTTCATCCAAATCATTTACAAAAATCACAAATAGAAGAGGACCCAGAACTGAGGATCTAAGGGCTGTTAAGGACTGAGATGAGGAAGAATTTCTTCACCCAGGGAGTGTGGATTTCTCTACCACAGAAAGCAGTTGAGGTCAAAATATTGCTTGATTCCAAGAAGGAGTTGGATACAGGCACCTGGGATCAAAGGATCGAGGGGAGAAGCTGAAACAGGTTGATCGGCCATGAACTGTAAGGGGAATCATATTCCAGCTCCATCCTGTTCCTGTTCACATCCTCACAGCTTCCTCACTCTTCTATCCCTAAAGGTTTTAGACCTGCCCACTTCCCTCCATTCCCCCACCAAGACAGTTCTGCCCCCTCCTTGTGACGGGGCCATTCTGTTTAGGGCCTTCCCTGGAAGGAACGAGGTTGCGAGGGAAGTGGGGGAGGGCCATCGGGAGGAAGGGAGATGAACAATTGTCCTGGTGTGGTGGTTGCTATTCCTTATGATTGATCTGGAGTCTCTGGGGATGCTCCTGGATGCATTTCCATGTTCTTCCTTCTTTCTCCATTGGATACAGAGTGGGGTGGGTTGGTGGGGTGGTGGAATTGAGAGGGAGAGAGCACAGGGGAATGGATTGTTCTAGAATCAGCCAATCGGCAAACGAGAAATCGGTTTGTCCAATCAGCTGCAGATAAGTGGGGTTCTGCCATGATGGACAAGCAATGGTGGGAGCATGGGACTTGCTCATGTTGAGGTTGTACAGGACATTGGTGAGGCCACTTCTGGAATACTGTGTGCAGTTCTGGTCGCCCTGCTATAGGGAAGGATATTATTAAATTGGAAAGTGTGCAGAAAATATTTACAAGTAAGTTACTGGGACTGGAGGGTTTCGGTTACAAGGAGAGGTTGGGACTTTTCCTACTGGAGCATGGGAGGTTGAGGTGTGACCTTTATGGAGGTTTATAAAATCATGAGGAGCATGGATAGCCAACGTCTTTTCTCCAGGGCAGGGGAGTTCAAAACTAGAGGGGCATAGGTTTAAGGTGAGAGGGGGAAAGATTTAAAAGGACCTGAGGGGCAACTTTTTCACACAGAGGGTGGTGTGTGTGTGGAACAAGTTGCCAGAGGAAGTGATGGAGGCGAATACAATTAAAACGTGTAAGAGACGTTTGGACTGGCACGTGGATAGGAAGGGTTTAGAGAGATATCGTTCCACAGGCAGGCAAATCAGGCTTGTTTAGTTCAGGAACATGGTCGGCGTGGACAAGTTGAACCAAAGGGTTTGTTTCATGCTGTATGACTATGACACCCATGTGATGGAACTACTCCCTCCCTCCCGTAATGTGTCTGAGGGGGATTGAATTGGGAGGAGAAATTGGGGTCTACACTCATTGGAGTCTCCAAGATCGAGATGTGACTTCATGGAAGATTGTGAGTGGATGTTACCGGGGTGATGCTTCCTGGGGGTATATAGAGGTTAAAAAGTAAGGGGTGCCTCCCATTTAAGATGGAGATGAGTGGGAATTTCTTCTCCCTGAGGGCTGTTAATCTTTGGAGTTGTCTTCTTTTGAGAGATGTTGGGGGCTGGGTCATTGAATATATTGTGGGTTGAATCATCATCATCATCATCATCGTCATCGTCATCGTAGAATCCCTACTGTGTGGAAATAGGCCCTTCGGCCCAACAAGTCCACACTGACTCTCAGAACATCCCACTGAGACCCATCTCCCCTATAACCCACCTAATCTACACATCCCCGGACACTACGGGGCAATTTAGCATGGCCAACCCACCCTAACCTGCACATCTTTGGACTGTGGGAGAAAACCGGCGCAAGACTTTTCACTGACAGGATTGATGGGGCAAGAAGAAGTGAGACCTCAATCCAATCAGCCACGGCCCTATTGACTGACAAAGGGGCTGAATGGCCTCCTCTTTATCTTTTATGAGCTCGTGAGTGGAGTTTGCAACCATGTCATGTCATCAGGTTTGAGGTCTCCAGCACAGAAAGAGAGAGAGAGACAATTTGACCCATTGAGTCTGGGGCTGTAGTGGGGCCGCTGTGCTCGAGGGAGGGTTATCAGGGACCCAAGTCCCTGCCCTGATCGGCACTTGACCCTTGACTTCCACACATGCACGTTATCACAGCGGCAGCCGTGAGCCAGTGGGTGGCCGTATTTCATGTCTCCTGCAACACCCCGCCCTCCACACCCATTTCCTCACCAACCTGAGGCCAATTCTGGCCATTATCGCCACCCCTTCCCCTTCTCCCTCTATTTAATTCTGTCCATCTTGGGGATAACATGATCTCTCGTACTCTCTGTTCTTCCCCCCAGGTTACGAAGGTTTCCCAGAATTCTTCAGCACCCTCTTGAACCACGTGGAGGCGCTGTTGCGTGAGCGGGAGAGAGATCCACAGGGACGAGGCCTAGTGGCCAAGCAACAGGGGCCTCACCGGAGGTGCCCAGATCTGCCCGAGGCCTGGTCGCCTGCCCCCGTCTCTAACTGCGCCAACAGCCTGGCAAGAGAAGTCTGGGCACCAGAGGAACATCCCACGGGAAGACGGGCATCGGACTCCAGCTGCTTCAGGGATTTTGCCCTACCCCAGGCTGCCCTGTGCCAGTCCAACTGTGAATAACCACACGCCAACCCCCCCCACCACTCCGCCCCGCCATCTCATCAGTCGCCCGCCATTAAAAACAAAAGCAACAGCTCCAGCTGGCGCTTTTGGGAAATGCAGATTAATTGTTAGATGAGTTTTATTCTACGCTAAAGCTGGCATCCTTGGTGCCTTGAATCCAGAATGTTCCAGCAGCCAGCAACTCCACTCTCACCCCCAAACCTCTCGATGCAAAAATGTCCTTCACTAACTGGAACGCATTCCAATATTAACTAGAAACGGAGTGTTGGCATGGCAACGTGTTTTAATCGTGGTGGAGGGTCAATTCGAGGAACTCTGAGGGTTAGCTGGAGGGACTGTGAGGCATTCTGTTTGAGGAGAGTCTTTCTTTTTCCCAAATTCTTTTATGGGGCGTGGGTGTCACTAGTTAGGCCCTAATTGACCAGAAGGCAATTAAGTGTCAATCTCTTGACTCCAGTGGGTCTGACCAGACTGGGTTAGGACAGCAGATTTTGTCCCCTGAAGGGAGTGGGCTAGACCATTTGCAACAATTGACAATGGTCGCTTTTCCAGATAACGTTGAATTCAAATTTTACCATCTGCCATGGTAGGATTTGAACCCATGACCCCAGAACTTTGGCCTAGGGGAGGCTGGATTATTAGCCAAGTGACTTGGGCACTACTCTACCACCTTCCATACTTGAAGGACTCTCTCTGAGAGTCTGTGTTGAGGGATTCTGAGGCTGTTTGTGAGGCACTGTTTGAGTGTCTTTTCGAGGTGAGTCTGTGTGAAGGTCTGTGTTTGAGGACCTGTGCTTGAAGGGCTCTTTTCAAAGGCCTGTGATGGAAGAGTCCGCGTCTGTGTTTGAGAGTCCGCGTCTGTGTTTGAGAGTCC